GATAAGGGCTGGGATTGGGATATCCAGCTGGGATAAGGGCTGGGATTGGGATATCCAGCTGGGACAGGGACATCCAGCTGGGATAAGGGCTGGGATTGGGATATCCAGCTGGGACAGGGACATCCAGCTGGGATGAGGGTTGGGACAGGAACATCCAGCTGGGATAAGGGCTGGGATTGGGATATCCAGCTGGGATCGGGGCTAGGACAGGAACATCCAGCTGGGATAAGGGCTGGGATTGGGATATCCAGCTGGGATCGGGGCTAGGACAGGAACATCCAGCTGGGATAAGGGCTGGGATTGGGATATCCAGCTGGGATGAGGGCTGGGATTGGGATTTCCAGCTGGGATAAGGGCTGGGACAGGGACATCCAGCTGGGATGAGATAGGGCCGTCCAGGTGACATCCCCTGGGGGCTCCCTCTGAACCGAGAAGAACCGAATTCCAGCCCGGCCGCAGGCAGAGCCCTCGGGTTAATCATCAACCCAAGGGCTGCAAAATCCTGAAAAAACAAAAGCCTCGTCTCTGTCCTTCAGAGGGGTCAGGCCTGTCACCAAAACCCGGCGCAAGGTTCAATTTACACTTTCCGAGCCTTTTGAAACCGGAGTTATCGGGATCGGAACGGCCCCGGGGGGGGGAGATAACGTGGAGCCCGCAGGTCCCCGAGAGCTGCGGGGCTCTGGTTTCACCTCGTTTCCCATCCCTGTTTCCCTCCCCCCCCCTAAATCCCGATCCCGAGGCGATGCCGCTGCCAATCCCCCCCAAAAAAAATAATAAGGAGGTTCCTGGCAGGGAACCCCGCGGCGGGTGAGGGGCAAAGCCTTATCAGGCGGAGATGGAAAACCCACAGCTCGCCCCAAAACCTGTTCGACCGGTTCCGGGGCGGTGGGAGGGGAGGGAGAACCGCAAACACCCTCCCGAACAAAAGGTTGGTGGCAAAATAGGACACGTGAGCGGGAATTGGGGGGGTTGGAGGGGGATCCGGGCACCCAAAGGATCCCCGAGGCACCCGAGGGATCAGGACGGCACCCCAAGCCCTGGATTTTTCCATCTTGTTTGAAACGAGCTGCTAAAAATACGGCAAAGTAGGGCACGGCAAAAAGCTGCGGCTTCCCGGGGATGGGATTCTGGAATTCCAGGGTGGGGGGGACACACCAGAATTCCAGGGGGGCTCCTGCCGGGTCCCGAAGGCTCTTTCCCTCCTCCTGGGATCGCTATCCCAGGAAAAGCAGCCGTGGGTCCCTCTCTAGGGGGAGGTGTAGGGGAGGCCCCTCCCCAAAAAAGGAGAGCACCCGCAGGGACAATTCCCACAGGGAAAGGCAGGTCCCGCGTGGAATGACAGTGCCTGGAAGGGACAGGTAACGGCGGGTCCTGTACGGGTTATAGGGCCCGACAGGGAGAGCTCACCTGGGGGGGTCCCTACAGGGCGAGAAGACCCCTATGGGGGCAGCTAAAGGGTCAAGGAGAGGGACAAGGTGGCACCTGTAGGGTCTCTACAGGGCACGGTGTCCCCAAAAGGAGATTCATTCCCATTCATGGCCCAGCTCCTGCAGGATCTGTTATAGGGCAGGACACACGAGGGAACAGCTCCTGTGGGATCTGTTATAGGGCAGGACACACGAGGGAACAGCTCCTGTGGGATGTGCTATAGGGCAGGACACACGTGGGAACAGCCCCTGTGGGATCTGTTATAGGACAGATCGCAGCTCGCCCGGCACCAGCCCCTATCCCAGGATAGGGAACATCCCAGGAAGGACAACACCTACAGCCCCCTCAGGGGGGCCGGGGCACACACCTGAGACAACAGACCCTGCAGGAGTGACATGGACCCCCTCTCATGGGGCAGGACCCCCCTGTCATGGGTCAAGACCCCCTGCCATGGGTCAGGACCCCCTCCCTTGGGTCAAGACCCCCTTCCATGGGTCTCGATCCTCTCCCGGATCAACAGGGGGTCAGGACCCCCCTCCCGGTGGGACAGAAGGGTCCTGACCCCCTGTCATGGGTGGGGACCCCCTCCCCATCCCC